TTGTGAACACTGTGTAACAAGTCAAACTGCAGTAACTAAGCCCAGAAAAGACTCAGTGGCAAACCCGTGTTTATGGGGAAAATTAGGGGACGCACAAGTTCAGGATACCTGTATGACTGGTCTAACATTCCCTCACTCCAAAAGGGACTTTGGCTCGGGCTTTTAAATGAAGTTCAGAAACTAGAGACATCTGCCACCCTCCAGGGGCTCCCGTTTATTGACAAATATTTATAGGTCACCTGTTGTGACAAGCAAGCTGCCGTCAATCACTCACGGATTCTCTCCAGAGTGAGCTGGTGTCCATACAGAGAAATAAACTATGGGGGAAGGGAGTGCTGCTCTGACCTGCTTTCAGTCTTCTAGAAGACCTAAATATGGACCCATGAAAAGACTTGATATTTGCAAGCTCTTGCCACACTAATGGAAGTAGCTTTTTGGAGAGCCGTCTTTCTCAGTGACTAGTGAACTTGCACAAAATCCTGTTACAAAAGTTTTGTTTTTTTTTTTTAATTACATGAACATTAAGTTCGTTTTTCTAAAATGTTTTATGTGTTCTAATTAGCCATACATGACAGTAGAATGCCTTTCGGCACATCATCGATGAAGTCCAACTCCTCATACTTCTGGTTGTACATGACATTGGGTCACACGGGTCATGTAGTCATATATGCACAGGGTACTAATGTCCGATTTATTCTACTATCATTCCTACCCCCATGCCCCTCCCTTCCCTTCCCTCCCCTCTATTCAATCCAAAGTTCCTCTCTCCACCCCCCAACCCCCATGGCTCAGCAGCCACATATCAGAGAGAACATTTGGCTTTTTTTTTTTCTCCTCTGATTCTCCTTGTCAGCTCTTCTGGATGCAGCAATGTAAACACTGCCTAAAACAGAAACTGGCACCAGGAGTTCGACCACCCATGGACGGACACCTCTGACACAGTGAGTCGTCAAATAAACTTTTCTTACTTAAAATTTTTCTGGTCAAGTCTTTTTATACAGCAGCAAAAAAAATAAAAATAAAAAATAAAAAAAAAATCTGACTACCTCAGGGGGTGATTACAGTCTTCCCTTCAAAGGCATGACACCCCCCCACCCCCCACCCCCACCCCCGCCAAATCCAGCTTCTTCAGCCACATGCTGCCTGCCTACAGTTTCACCTGGGTAATCCCTCTCAGGGGACTGATGCACTGATTAGGTGAAGGTTCTCATACCCCATCGTTGCATCTCTAAATCCTCTTGTATTTTCTCACACATGAGCTTTGAGGAGACGCCTCAATCCAAACACTAGCCTTCTGCCCCTGGACCCAAAAGCTCATGCCCATCCCATAATGAAAAACACATGCAGTCTGTTTCCAAGAGTCCCCACGGTATTAACCCTTCCAGCAATGTCCAAAAGTCCAAGTCCAAGTCTCCTCCGAGACTCAAGACAAACTCAGCATGATTCCCGTAAAAAATCAAAAGCAGTTACATGTGCCCAGTGTGTAAAGGCACGTGGTGAACATCTCCATCCCACAAGGAGAAACCAGGCTTACAAAGAAGGGCTGGAATCCAGCAAGACCAACAACTCCTGCCCTCCATGCAGAGCCCCAGGCCCATGGCACAGGCTGTTCCTTCCCAGGGGCTGCTGTGGCTCTGAGCCTGACTTTCCCGCTCGCAGCCCACGTGGCCAGCTCGCGGCTCGTCCCCGCTCGGTTCCCGCAGCTTTCCTCAGCTAGGCTCCGAGGCGCTGGCAGCTCTTCATCTTGGGGTCTCCACTGTGGCTCTGGCTTCCTGCTCACACCTCCAGGCATCACCCTATGGGGCAGCCCCACGAGGACTCTGACCCTGCTGCGCTTTGCCCAGCCTCCAGGCCTCCCTTTGAAATCTTGCTGGAAGCCTCCATGAGCACCTAACTCCACCACCTGCTCTCCTGCAGAACCAGCCCCACGTGCTGCCTCCAACGTCTGCCACCTCTCAAGCAGCAGCCAAGCCCACGGGGACCCTGGCTGCAGCAGCCTCTGAGTGGCTGAATGGATGAGTCTGGTGACACCACTTCCTAGGACCCCCTGTGCCAGTGTTACCGCTGTTGACTGGTGGCGAGTCCTTGCTTCCCCAGTGTTGAAGAATAACACCAGAGAAGCACCCCGAGGCAAGGTCAGAGTGGAAAGTAGAGGTTTATTAAAGGACAGCAGAAAAGACTTCTCCCGGAGGAAGAAGGGGACCCAAGAGGTGGAATCCATTGAAGGGCGGATGTGTTCCCCTTTTTATAGTTCTTTCAGTGATGGGATATAGGTGGGAAGGCCCGAAGGGTGGGGCACAGGTGGGCCAAAGAAGTAATCTGGGCAGGAAGGACTTTTGAGTCAGCATCTTCAAGTTTGCTGGGAGCTGTTTCATCAACACTTCTTTGGGATGGGCTCTGGGCCTTGGGGACATTAACATTCCATGAGTTGTCCTGCGTTTCCCGGACTTCATTAACATTCCAAGAGTTGTTCAGCTTTTCCCGGAATTCATTCTCAACATGGCCTCCATTTTGGATCTTACTCGATATTAGACCCGATTTACCTAACTACACTGACTGCCTAATTTTAAATCTGGCTTCACAAGTAGGTGCCCCCCTGGCCCCTTCTCGAAAGAAGTTTCACTTTTATACCCTGGAGCCGGAGATGGGTGTGACCTGCCAATTCCTGAGATGCCCTTGAAATATCTGTCCGTTTGTCTCTGGGTAAAGTCTTTAGCATTTCTTTAGTGGTCAGACGTCTTCAACAACCACACATTTCTCACATCCAGTTTTACTCACAGTTTTCTGGCCAACTGCCAATTTTTTCTTTATCTTTCTGCTCTGCTTTCTTCTCTTGATGATCACACAATAAACTTGACTAAAGGCTGCAAACGTACCCATGCCATTGCCTGCATATGTGCTCCCTAGAAATTTTTTCTGCCAGATTAAAAGTCCATCGCCCTTAAATTCAGCCCCCACAGAAAGTCTCAAGACACAGGCAAAATGCAGAAAGCCACTTAGAACAACATGAATGGCTTCTAGTCCGATTCCCATGGAGTCCTTCTCCTCCTCTGAAACCTCATGAGCCTGCCTTTTATTTTATTTTATTTTTCCCAGCACTCTAGTCTTCTGAGCTCCCTCCAGAGTTTCCCATTTAGGTCCACTTACAACATTTCTCAATTTGCAATTCTATTCACTCAACATAAAGGGCTCACCTTCTCTCATATTTCTGTTCACTTATGTGTTTTTTCCCTCCCGTTTGTCACTGCAGATAAACTTTATCAGTTGCTCTATTTTAATTTTCTTCTACCTCTTTTAATATTGCGGCCAGCTATCAAATTTTGCTTTCCCTAATGCTCTTTGTTTTTCTTTGATTAATGGCAACCACAAAAAGAATTCAACATCTCAGGTGAGCTTTCTGAAGCATTCTCTAAAGGGTCCCACGAGGCTGAGGCACCCACAGACCTGGGTCAATGAAAAGCAGGAAGAGTCACTGAAGACCTTTCTCATTGTCTTCTTTCTCTTTCCTCTTTTTTCCTAGTCCCTAACTCAGTAGGACATCATGTTGATTAGCTAGAAAAGATGGAGAGAAAGAAAGGTGGGGGGCTGGGATTGTGGCTCAGCGGTAGAGCCTCGCCTAGCATGGGCGGACCCCAGTTCGGTTCGATCCTCGGCACCACATACAAATAAAGGCATTGTGTTGTGTCCATCTGCACCTAAATAAATAAATAAATAAATAAATAAAAGAAAGGGGGGAAAAGCCAGAAATCATATGATTTCTGAATGTTAAAAATTGAGCTCTATGTCCTGAAAACTGGGGAGCCATTGAGGGTTTACCTTTATGAAGCTCATGAAACACTGGAGCTTTGCTTCCAAACGTTGTCCTTGAGAAACTAATGTGACTCCATTTTTGAGAAACCAGCTTCTACCTTAAGGCTTGTCCTAAGGAAGGGGGCGTGACCCGTGTCCTTGGAAAAACCCACAGAGCACTCCTAAGCCCAAACCCACCCTGCTGATTTGTTTGTCTGTAAATAACAGGAGAGATCTGCCACGCCAGGTGTCCCTGACTCAGTCAGGCTAGGTGAGGACCCATAGCAACCCCCCTAGCAACCACCAATCAGCATGAGACAGAGAAAATACCTGGGATGCCAGATGACCCCCCAGTAGTTTATGGTGGTTGATAACGTGTTGGGAAACCATGTAGTTCAGCACGTACACCCCTCGTGGCTTAAACCAATCAGTTCAAAGGAATCCCCCTCTTGTACTAACCAATCACCCCTACCCAACTTGTTCCCGCCAGTGAATGTGCTAATCAATGTTAAGAGCTGTTGTTTGATTTTCCTGCGGTATGGAATGATTTGCTGTGTGATGTTGTGACGCATAGAATATCCCCCCAAAACCTATAACAAAGGACCGGGACTCACTCCCTGGGACTGCTGCGTCGGGAACGGTTGTGAGTCCAGGCTTGAGCTTTGCAATAAAGACTCTTGTGTGATTGCATCGGATTTGGCTCCTGGAGGTCTATTGGGGTCCCACGAATCTGGCATTACACCCTCATCACAGGTTTTATGATGGATTGGGTATGGTGGTATTTGAGGACAGGAGCCTCCTCAGAGGTTGATGACAGGTGACAGGTGAAAGTCATGAGCCTCTACTGAGCACAGTGGCCACAGGAGAGTCATTCTTTGTGACCCTTCATTTAACTCATGGCCAAAGGAATAGGAAACGTGCACGGTAATACAGGATGTTTCCAGAACAAACATCTTCTTTAGTGATGCCTGATGCTCAGGCAGACGTTGGCCACAGGGATTGCATGTGAACAGATTATTACCAAAAGTAACACACAAGTTCTTTATTAAGACCCTCTCATACAAGACCCAAGGTTGAAGGATAACAAAAACGACAAGTAGAGAAGTGCAGAGCTGGTGATTTATGGAAGCAAGACGTTGAAACCTCTACATTTTACAGCAAAGATCAGGGTATCCTTGAAAGACAGTGGAACCAGGAATATATTTTATGCTTCATGGAGTACACTTCTTGAGGAGAATTGCTTTCTGCAATTGAACAAAAGAGAGAAAAGGGAAAGGTGAGATCGTCTGTACTGCTCCTGAGGTGACATGTCAACACACCAAGGGGAACATGGAGGTTGCCAGCAAAAACACTTTTCAAGGGCAGAAGGCAACTAGAGAGAGAGGGTTTGGGAGAACGAGGCCCACAGTTGTGGTGGACTTTCAACAACCTGTGCACAATAGTCGATAACCTCTCAGAGTCAGGCAAATATACACAGAGGTGACCCAAGAGTGTGGCTCAAGTCTCTGTGGAAGGTGGAGGGGAAGGGTGGGATTCGACTTTCCCTCCAACTTGGGTCCCATAACTGAGACCCAGAAAAGGGCTGGGTGGGCACTCAGACCCATACTGCTGTCAGGTGACCCGAGGCTCCCTAGGAGATCTGGCCAAGCGGACAAAGAAACCCACCTTCCCTACACAGCGCTCCGACAGTGGTCACTTGTAGCTTTCTCCCCCGCTCCTGTATATACCCAAACTCTCCATAGGACAGTCCATGTGACTGTGACCCATGGGGTGATTAGGACTCTCCCTCAGAGTGTTCCCAGGCACCGAGACTTGACCCTGAAACTTCTTGCCTGGGAACCAGATTGTCTTTCTCCTCAGGACACCATGTGCAAGGTGAAAGTCATGAGCCTCTACTGAGCACAGTGGTCACAGGAGAGTCATTCTTTGTGACCCTTTGTGACAGGTATCCGGCAAGATGGGTGTACCCCCCAACTACAGTGTTTCCTCCACCGAGGGAATCATTCCTGGTAGCATGAGGATTAAAAGCCTCTAGGCGTAAAAGAATGACATTACCAGTGCTATTTTAATTTGGTTTCTGTCCAAAGCGGACATCTTATCGGTGCATTCCTTCACCTTCAACTTTGCATCCACATTTTCCGAAGGTGGATTGAACTTCTGGAGCGAGAGCTTGTACAAAGCTGGTGGGATATCCAAGAACTCTAAACTTTCAGTAACAACGATGGGACATGCCAGACCATTGGCTGGGGCACAAAAGAAAAAAAAAATTTATGAAAGCACAATCAGGACTTTTCCCAGGACTCCCTGATGTTCATCAAGACATGATCCCTAGGGTTTGGAGTTTCCATCCCATAAATGTGTTGATGACAGTGTTAGACCTCCAAAATGATTTCCCCAAGATCACAGAGCAATAGCAGGGCCAAGACCAGACACCCAGCTGCCTGTCCACTCAATTTTATAGGTTTTTCTTAAGGCATACCCAGTCAACATAGTGTCTCTGCTTTGCTGAAATACCCTTTCTGGATGAAATGATTAAATGTCATTGACCAGTCAAGTGTCACATTATGACCCTTGGATATTGCACAAGGGGAGTTTTTGAATCATACAATTTGAGGTGCATGGGGAAGTCAGAATCTTATCAAAGATCAGAAAACTGGAGAAGAGTAATTAAAATTGTTAAAATGTGGGGCTGGGGATGTGGCTCAAGCGGTAGCGCGCTCGCCTGGCATGCGTGCGGCCCAGGTTCGATCCTCAGCACCACATACACACAAAGATGTTGTGTCCGCCGAAAACTAAAAAATAAATATTAAAAAATTTTTAATAAATAAAATTGTTAAAATGTGAAAGGTGATATTTTGAGATTGTGTTGGATGAATTTAATTGTGCTATTGGGCACGAGTAATGCTAAAAAGCTGAAATCATAAGAGAGATCATCCATTTGATCTTAAAAAGCAAAAAACTAGTGATTGTCCCCAGTTCTGCAGTGATGTCCGTAATGCAGAGGGTGTCGGGGACATTTCCTGACCTCACTGGGGACTCTTGGAAGTCTGCAGGAACCTGTTTTTCTGGTCTGAGTTCCACATACCCCCAAGGATTTTTGCAACCACCTTGTACTCAGGAGGTGCTCTGCCAGGCTTCTTGTGACCCCCTATCAGACAGCACAACATGGGGAGAATTTGGCGAGGGTGGGATCTGAGACAAGGCAAAGAAACAAGAGGAGGATCAGCAGGTGACAGAAAAGAGAAAGATGGAGAGAGCCTGCCTCAGCACTCCGGGGAGGAGGCGATGGGAAGTGCCATTGGCAGAATGGCTACAGGTACCTCTGCATCCCAGGAACCATAGCTGAGTGACGGCTCCAGTGCTGCCACACTGCGGATGGACTCCGAGAAAGCTAGAGGTGCTCCTGGTCACGTTAAGCACTGTTTGATCTCAGAGCCCATTTTTAGGCTTATTATTCAGAGGTTGAGAGAGCAGTGGCTCTTTCTTCTTGAACTGGGATTCCTCCACACATCTGTCTAGCAGGGACATTCCATGCATCTGCATTCAGGGGCTAAGCTGTGGGCTCAAGTGGCACCTAAAAGCCTCTGAGGAGCAAACCTAATGATTACAGACTTGGCTATATAGGGGCACTCGTGACGTGAATTATCTCATCCCATCTTCATAGCTATTCAGGTTGGTTTCTATAAACACACCTACATTTTGGAGAGGGGGGGCACTGGCCCAGGGTCGAAGGCTGGTAAGTGACAGAGCCTAAATTCACACTCAGATCTCTCATGATATTCTGCAGTGTTCCGAGTACAGATCGCAGGGAAAGAGGGAGTGTCTGCCTCTAATTCCTAACATTTGCCTGGAGTGACTTTCTCTAAAAGTTTCTAGGTGTTGAGGAGTTAATGAAAGGAGCCCTGATTTTTGAACAGTCGATTCACAAACAGAAGAACTCTGCACATGGCTGTGGTTCAGATCTCCTCCTTACCCCACCTACTCCAACAGCTTTATCTAGTGTTCAGAGACAGGTGCTCACCAGGGGCTGGTGCTAGCCTCACCACCATGGATACTCACCTTGTTTGCAGCAAAGGGCCAGAGTGACCAGCAGGACACACACAGACAGTCTCATGGTGCTTTCTTTGCTTTGAGCTTTAACAAAGGATGAGAGATTTGTATTCACCCCAGGAGCCTGTGCAGCCTGTGGAGTCCGGGGCTATTTATACCTAGTCAATCACACAGGTCCTGCCCACAGAAGCATGTGGCAGGTCACAAAGCCTGGCTTGCAGCCCTCCTTCCTGTTGAGGGTTGATACCATCCATCAGTGTCAATCCCAACGCCTGCCTCCATTCCAACTGGGATAGAGCCCAAGACAACAACCCTTGGGAACTCTGCCCTGCCTTCCATATGCACAATAAGGTGCCTCTGCAAATGAATCACAGTTTGGCTCTGTGCTTTTTTATGTTTATGTCTTTGTCCTTTGTCTTGGTTCAGAGGCCCAGGGTGTTCTGACATTGGGAGGAGAGACCAGGGTACCTGGGATGCAAAGTATCGGGCTTTGACCATGGGAGAGCAGGTGCACAAGACGACTCCTCTTCAAACCCCTCTGCATGTGTGTACCCACCTCTTCCCATTGCTCCTTCTGAACAAGACATTTCCTCTCTCTCTCTCTCAGCCTCTTTTATCCCACCTTCTTCACCACATAAAGAACTTAAAACATAGTTTAATAAATACCTCCCTCGCTGGAGAATTTTCTTGGGGAAAACAACAGCTCCACCACTTCTTTAGCTGGTCTTACTGTGAATAGTCTTTCTTTGGAGGTGCAATTTACCACAGGGAAAAGTTTTCAACATTCTTGCAATAAGTGGAAGCCCCCTGTCTCAGCTGGGGGCTTTATACCACAATGAGGCCAAGAAGATGATGAAAAGACCCCAGCTAGATCCTGGAAGTCAGGAGGCAGTGAGCATCAGAGATGTTGACAGCTCCTGTGACTGTTCTGCTCATGGCCCCTCCTGGAGAAGACAATGGGAGTGAACTGACAGGTGGACAGAGAAGACACCCACTGCCTGCCTGCCTCCTGGGTTTGCCAATCCCCACTCCTCCACCCAAGCTTGTCTCACTTGGGCCGATCGCAATGGAAGGTGAGGACAACTGCTAGCCACAGGATCACACTCCTTACCTGCTGTGCAATACTGGTCCACCCTGCTCCACGTGAGTAGAGGAATCTTCTGTCTTAGCTCTACAATCCAATCCCCTGGGAGTCCTTGAAAGATATTTGGCTCTGTGGGCGATGATATTAGCATGGGTGGTGAGGTGATGCTTTGAGAGACTTCTCTCAGAGTTTTCTTGCTGCATTTTATATACCAACTCACAGAGGCCTTTCATACTTATCAGCATGGCTACTATCAAAACAACAGAATTACACATTTTGGCTACAAAATATGGAGAAAGAGGAAACCTGGGCATTGTTGATGTGAATTTAAAATGTGGTAGTTGCTAAAGAAGAGAGTGTGGAAGTTCCTCCAAAGTTGATTATAGAATTTTAATATGAATCCAGCAGTTCAATTTCCTGGTATATTTCCCAAAGAATTGAATAAAATACTTGAAAAGCCCCATGCATAGAGGAACAATTCACAATAGACAGGAAGCAGAAACCACCTGAATGTCCACTAACAGAGAATCACAAAATAAAACGGGGTCTGTCCATATGATGTATTATTATTGGGCCTTAGAAGCAAAGAAATCCTGTCCAAGGCTACAGTGTGGATGAATCTGGAGGACATCTTTCAAAGTGCAATCAGCTAGTTACAATGAGGAAAATACAGTTTGATTTCACAGAGAAAATGTATCTATAACAGTCAAATTGATAGGAACAGAAAGTGAAAAGCAATTTCCAGGAAGAAGGAAAAGCATGAGATACACAATAAAAAATCAAGTTCCTCCGAATAACGGAGTGTGCTGCTGAGAGAGGCCACATGGGCTGACTCCCACCGACTTTGGGACAGGTGAGGACACCTCTTGGGGAACTGGAACCCAGAAGTGGAATCGTGGACCTTGGCAGATGTAGTTGTTTGCAAGATCCTTCCCCAAAGAGGTTCTACGGGGGTGTTACGTGGGAAAACTTCAGGAACTTGGCTATTGAGAGGAAGATCATGAGAAGAAGACAACATTGAAGGTGAGCCAAATAAATGTGAGGAGAAATCTCAAGTACAGCAGTCCCATGTGAAGAGATCTCCAGTCCAACTCCAGGGCCAACTGGAAACAAACAAACCGAAATCTCCTCCTGGAGAAAACAATGCGAAAGCTGTGCATGTGGAGAAGAGCTCGTGGTTGTTCATCCCCAGGTAGGCAGCTCAGCTCACACTAGACACAAAGCACAAGTCTCAGGAATATGAACAGAAGTTGCACAGGGGTGAGGAAGGCAGAGAAGGCTTCAGTGATCCCCAAATCTTTGAAGTGATCCCCAAATCATGTGAAGGTAAACACTGTCATAAGTTTTAGTTCTGAGGCTCCTCAGTTCTCTTCACAATCGTGAAATAGCTCACCTTGGAGAGAAACACACAAATGTAAGCAAAAGAAGGGAAGCCTTCAGCAGATGCACTTAAATTCAAATGCTTGCAAGAATCCATGCTGGAGAGAACCTCTGTGTAGGTACACAGGTGGGAAAGGCTTGTTACTCATCTTGCATCGTACGTGCATTACAACACACATTATAACTACGCCTGGTAGGTGTAAGGTATGTGGCAGATGATTTGGCTGTTCCAGCCCCTCTCTCGCACATGAAAGAAATTGCACTGGTCAGAAACACCAGGAATGTCATCAATACGGAAAAACCTCTGGCTGTTCCAGTTCCCTTCAAGTACTTAAAAGGTATTACACTGAAGCCAGGTGTGGTGGCACATGCCTGCAATCCCCGCTACTCAGGTGGCTGAGGCTGGAGGATTGCATGTTTGAGGCTAACCAGGACATGGAAAGAAATGTCTCAAAATACAACATAGAAACAGGTAAGGGTGTAGCTCAGAGGTAGAGCACCCTTAGGTTCAGTCCCCTGGAAGGAAAAAGAAAAAAAAGAACTCACACTGGAGAGAAGCCCTCTGATGGTAACAAATGTGAGAAATACTTTGCTTGCTCCAGTTCCATTCAAAACTGTGAAGAAAAAAAAACCTCACTTTGGATGTCAGCAGTGTGAGGATGGTTTCAGGTTTTTGGTGAATTTTGAATAGACGAACAATCTCACCACCCAGAGAAACAATGTATAAGCAACTTTATGAAGCCTACTGTGGTCCCAGTCATTTGAAATACATTAAAGAAACACATTGGAAATGACCCTGTGTATGTAGGCAATGTGGGAAAATTTTTTAATCCTTCCCATTACGTGCAAATATATAAAAGAATTCAAACCATTTACGCCATTCTTCAGTATTTGTGTTAAATAAATAAAGTCAGCATACTGTACTGATACATACACATCGTATTTAGGGCAGCATGACTCACAATAGCCAGGTTACAGAACCAGCCTTGGTACCCATGAACAGATGAACGGATAAAGAAAATGTGATGTATATACACAATAGAGTTTTCTTCATCCGTAAACAACCTGAGATTATAGAAAAGACCTGAGATTATAGAAAGCTTTGCCACGTTGCTTATAAATATAAGGTGTCAGGTGTTAATTTTGCAGGAAAAAAAGATGAAATTTGAGAACATTATGTTAAGTGAAAAAAATCGAACTCAGAAAGTAAAGGGTCATTTGTTTTTCTCTCATATGTGGAAACCAGAAATTAAAAAAAGAAAAAAAAAGGAAAAAAATTGGTAGTGATACCGCCAGTTATTGGTGATGAATTCTGTTCCCCTACATGTTGAAGTTTGAACATTGGAGAAGCACACCAAGGCGAGCATATAAAGCAGGGTTTATTTAAAAAGGGGTAACAGACTTCTCCCGGGAGGGAGAAAGGGGCCATAGCTGGTATCCTGGTATCCCAAGAAGTGAGGCGTTCTGCCTTTTTATACGTCTTAGGCTTCTGATGAACCCAGCCTAATTCCATCTTAAGATGGGGAGCCATCTCATCACAAAATCATGAAACGTTCATTTCTGTTTAACTATAAAATACTAAGATTTCTATCTGGCCTGACCAAACTCTGAAACTTGTTTGAGATTCCTGCCCATGCTCTGAACTCACCCATGCCTGGCTCTCCTTCACTAAAACCTCAGCGGTGTGCCTCATAAATTGTGATGTTGGAATCTCCATTTACTCCCTACCTTGAAATGTTAAGCTATGTAGATCATTAACCTGCTATCTGCCCTTGTATTACACTTGCCAGGACCCTGTTGGCTGTGAGTTCTCAAGACACCCCCCTTTGTAACTTTTTGTGCTGTAAAAACCTTTCTTCCCAGAGCATAGGTGCTGTCCTCTGGCCCAGTAAGGCAGTCACTGGTCAGCTCTCTTGTGTACACAATATAAGCTTGCTTTAATTTGTTTTAAAATTGGAGTCACATTGCAGGTTCGACACTTCCTTTGTTTTCCTGCCCTCTTCCCCTTATCTTTCTGGTTCCTGCATATGACTAGGCCCAGGAAATGCTCCATCTGATGGCCAAAGGTGGGAATCAGGTGGGCTGCAGGGGGAAGGGCAGGATGGGGAGGCCCAGGACACATTAATTAACAACTTCATAACTCGCTGTAGGGAGGGGCCATTCCTGGGACAGTTACCTGAGCTGCAGGTTGGAGCAGGGGCAGGTTCTTGATAGGGTGGAGGAAGGGCTCTGAAGGCATTTCAATACCCCGCCCCCCAGGACCGAGGACCATCTCCAACTGCCCAGACTCACTCAAACTGGCCTCCTTGATCTGACCTGACTCGATTTACCTATCTATACTGCCTGCCTGTCTAATTCTGGCTTCAGTGGGATCTCATGTGAAGGGAAGGGAGACTTGTAAGTAAAGGAAGAGGACCAAGGGAAGGAAGGAAAAGAGAAAAATGGGAGGCGAAGGGAATGAAATGGACCAAATCATATTGTCATATTCTCAAATGTACAAATATGAAACTCTGAACCTCACCATTTCTTCCAACTCAATAAGGCACCCGTAAAAACAATCTTGAGGGAAAAAAAGAAAAAGAAAATTAACACCTGACACC